TGAGAGCCAGGGAAGGGCTGGCACTAGGGCCCTGGGGGAATTGGGGGAATCCGTGGGGAAGTGACCGGACAAAGCGCCAGGATGCTGGGCAAAGAGCCAAGGCAACGGCTCCGGGAGGCGCTGGAACTGGAGCCCAGGGACTGTGCGTTAGTGGGGCAGGAGAATGAATGACGAGCCAGGAGGAAGGGGGACTGGGCCGGGCTGGGCAAGGAGTCTGGGGCCTGTTAGGTGAGGCACCTCAGTCACCAGCTCATGGGCAGTCATGCCTAATGGTTAGTCAGGTGCCTGGAGCTGGAACCAAGCTGTGGGCCAGGGCTTGATCTGAAGCCAAGGTTGGGGCCAGTATCAGGCCGGGCGTGAGAAGAGGGACCTGGAGTGAGGCAGGGGCCAGGAACAGATGGGTTCTGGGACAGAGGGCAGAAATCCCAAGCAGGCTGAGAGGGAGGGAGGCAGGTGAGCAGGGCCTATGCAATAGCCAGCCCAGGACTCCCCTAGTTGCTTGGACAGCGCCCTGTGCCTCCCTCCGATGTGCTTAGCGCCCCCCTGCTAACCAAGGGGGCTGGGGGTTTCCTGCAGGTAGGAGCTTTGGGGAGGGGTCCTTTGGGAACAAGGCTTCGCTAGCCCCCCGTCCGCTGGTGGGGTTTGCTGCTGGAGTACTGGCTGCGGGCCCAGGTCCAAGACCTGTGATTCTTCACAAGGAGAGTGGGGCTGGGATGGGGACAAGCCTGGGGCGGGGCAGAAGAGTCTGTGTCCACTAGAAATTCAGCTCCGCAATTCCCGCGTCTCCCCGTTCCTCGCCAGGGAGGGGTGTGTCTCCCTGTCCACTGCTGCTCGCGGCTATTCTCGGGGGGGGGGGCTGAAACGTCAGCCCCGCTGGTGACCCTGTGGGAGTCGATCTCATGCCACGTGATGGAATTTTTCAGCTTGGCTGTTTTCAGAGCTAGCAAGCTGCATGCACCAAGCCGTGGTCAAAGAACATTCTCCCCATTGCAGGGTCTTGCTCCCAGGAGGCGGGGAGCGCCTGTCGAACGCTGCCAGTGTCCGTTAGTCCCGCGTGCACTGGTGCATTGTACTACAGACTGCAGTGACGTGACCACATGCTGTTTTTTCCCTAGGACCCTGCCTCATTCAGTGAGAGACTGAGGAGAGGCGAGAGTGAGGAGGAGGAGGACTGTTTAGGTTAGAAAGAAGAGGGCACGTAGGAGGTACACAGAATGAGTACAGGGCTAGGGAAGGTATGTTGGCTGTCCCCGTTCACCTTGGGTCAAAGCGCAAGACAAGGGGATGTCACGCGAGGCGGAAAGCCAGCCGGCGTGCAGCGGATACAAAGAAACACGTTTACACCAGGCGTAGTAAACCTCCGGAACTCACTGCCACAAGGCGGTACTGAAGCCAGGGGGGATTCAAAAAAAGGACCCCCCCCGAGCCTGCCTCTGCAGAATGGACCACCCTGCACCCACAGCCCCACAGTGTGTGGGAGGGCTCTGCCCAGACCCCCACAGCCCTCCTGGGGAAGCCAGGCCGCTGTGTGAAGTTGCTCAGAGTCCGACCTTTGGAGACCAGTCAGAGGGTCTGGCTCTGTTAGTTCTAAGATGGTGCATCTGGTGGTAGCTGATACCTTGGCCTGTTGGGCTTTGTGTGGCCGGGGGGTGGAAGGCCCAAGAGCACGTGTCCTCCAGAGCTGAGGGGCAGCTACGTGGAGGTGTGGACTGGGACACGCTCCGAAGCGCCTCAGCAGGCCGACGGTCAGAAAGCAGGGCTGACGGCCCAAACCACTGCTGTGTTCTGTAATTGGATTTCCCCAAAGCAGTCCCAGGGGTGAACTCCCAGCTCACTGTAGCGGTCCTGGCAGGGTGCCACAGGCAGTCCTCTTAGACTCTCCGCTCTGTCTTGCCACCCGTGGGAAACTGGACTTCGCGATAACAGTCCCTGGCACCAAAACTCTCACTGCAGCAGGTTGCTCCTGGTCCCAAGGGCCCAGTCCCGCACCCCAGATCAATTGGTACTCCCACTCCTACCCCCAAGACCGCTCTGCAGCCGATTCGGTAGTGAGCTGCAGGCTGGCGGGCTGGCTGAGAAGGAAACGTTACAGCAGGTAAAACAGCTGTACGGGGGGGTCAGTTTGGAATTCCAGACGGTGGCCGTGATGTGACGAGCTGCCCATTTCCCGAGTCGTACCCACAGCGTCTCTAGGGATCTCCGCTTTGCATCTGGCAGCTCCCCCAAGGGTCCACGCGGCCCAGAGATGACGTCTCTGTCCTTGAATCCGTGTTTATAGCTGCTTCTGACCAGAGGCAAGCTTCCCCCGGAGCGGTGCCCGCGTGGGCCGAGCACTGCAATGCCAGGCCGGGCAGGCATGCGGGAAATGGATCTGGGCAAACAAACCTGGCGCCATTCATTGCTGAGATCACAAATTTGGTCCTTAAAGGTCGCTGCCTTGCTGTAACGTGCTGGGACGTCTGTGAGCTTTGATGTCCTGCTGCCCTCGGCAGTGTCCAAAGGCAGGAGCTGGCTAACTGACATGCCCACAAGTAGCCCTCCACGGGGAACCCCCCAGACCCAGGGGTGCAGTGGGTTTCTGCTAGGCAGGCACTAGCTGGCGTTGTTAGGGTGACGTGGCAGCGTGTGCGCCATTGCGGCTGACACCGAGTGGCCAGTAGCGCTCAGGGAAGGGACACGCAGCAACTGGGATCTGTGCCCGTTCGAACAACGTGCATCTTAGTGCAGCCCAACGCGGGGTCATGCCTTGGAACAGGAGATGTGCCGGCCCTACAGCGCGGGAGACGGCCCCTGGACAGCAGCAACTGACAAGCTCTGGGGTCTCGTTCTGGATAGTTGGCTGAGCGTGAGCTCCGGGGTGATGCCTGGCGGACGGGCTGGTGTGGCCCTTGCATGTGTCCCTGGGGGGGAAGGGGTAGGGAGGGGTGCAGAGCACGTGGGTGAGCCCGACATTAGAGCACTGTGTCCGGGTGTGGTGCCCACGTTTCTCAAAGGGTGTTGTCAGTCTGACGAGGGTGCGGGAAAGAGCCCCGGGCGGGAGGAAACGCCTGCAGGGAGGACTGATGGAAAAGCAGCTGTTGAGGGGTCGTGCTTAGTGCGTGATGGGGCCCTGGCGGGGCCGGGCAGAACGAGGACCAGGGGCTGGAAGCTGAAGCCAGACAGCGTTTGTGTAGCAGGGGGTGCAGGTTTCACGGGTGAGGGTGATGTAACCCTGGGAACACACGGCCGAGGCCGCGGGGGAGTTTCCATCTCTCCCTGCCCTCGGCCCCAGGCTGCGCGGGTCCGGAACGCCTGCCAAGCCCCAGTTCTACCGGGGCGACGCTGGCTGGTCGTGCCCTGTCAGATTGGATGGGCCGCTGGGGCCGTCTGGGCTTCAACTGTATGAAATGACTCGCCCGCTGCAGGGGCTCCTGTGGCTCCCCCCGGGGCTGGCT